CAAACAATCATACTGAGGACATATTTGAGTTCATATTAATGGGTATTCTTTCAGTCCTATAGCTGGTTGAACAGTACGTTTGCACTAATTGTTTTTTTGCCAATGGCTAAGTCTTGTTCTGTCCTAATGATGAGGATGCCAATTAATGCTATCTTTGTAAATTGTGTCAGGGTTCCAAGTAATACACCCATAGCAAACAAAACTCTGACATAGGTAGATTCCTCAAGGAAACGTTTTATTGGATATATCATATTGGCACAGTTCTGGTGAAAAGTGACTCTGAAGGTTCCCACGGTTTTCACCTAATTAAAAGTAAAAGTGTTTCCCCCTTCCCCAAACAATTATTCACATGGTCCAATCAAGTTGCCATGGTAACATCACTCCTCCCCCCCCCCTTTCCCTCTCTCACACACACACACCCCAAGTGTGAGAATGTCCTTACATGTCTCAGGGGAAAGTATTTTGTTTTGGCTACAAAACTCCAGATATCTCTATTCCCCCCTCCCTGTACCTCTGCTCCAGTGTGGCAACACTGAAACTTCAAAATGGCTTCAGTCAGAACAGCTTCAGGGTTGATAGATTGAGTGTGGTATAAATTAAGGAAAATAACTGGTGGATACCCCTGGTTTGTTTATCAAAACCATGGATCATTTCCACAGTAAGGTTTGTGACAGAGGAAGAAGGTAAATACTACTTCTGAACTGCTAAATATGAAGTTGCTGTGGCCAGACTGAAGTTCAGACAAAAGAAGTACGATACGGTCCTGTCCTTTAAAAACAGTGATACATCATTGTGTTGCACTTAGGGACACATGAAGATGAGCCCATTAGGTTACTTCAACAATTGGCTGGCTGATGCTAAAGACATTGAAGACACAATTATGCAGAGGCTTTGAAGCATGTCCTTGTTGCAAAATATAATCATCCTGAAGAACTCTGCTACTGTTTCTTAAGCTGTTCAGTCTTGTTGCTTATATGACTCTCTTAGTAAAGAGCTGAATTTTCTCACATTTCAGAAAAGGAAAATATTTTGATTACAAGAGACTGCAAGGTAATAGTCCTTGGTGCAAGAAAAGTCTCAGCAAATTAAAGAAGTGCAGTACTTTTCATCCTGTGCATAAAAGGTTTGCCAATTCCATCGTATTCAGCAGGAGCATTGTGTCATTCAGTTTCAGCTGCATCTCATGGAGAATTGGCAAATGGATTTGGCAAATGGTTACTGAAAATACACAGACACAGGCGCACAAACTCCACATTCTGGCATGCTAGTCCCAATGAAATTGATGTCTTTGTTTTATATTTCCAAAATCTGCTCCTTTCCAAGATGATAAATAGCTTGTCTTCGTGTTCTAGATTACATATTTAGCCTGCCTGACCTTGATTGCCATGATTATGCCCCTATTGTCATTTTAAAAAATTGTATTTAGGATATTTAATTAATTTGCTCAAGCAATTTGTTAAGCCCTTTACTTAGTTGGCAAGAGGACTAATGTCTTAGGAGACAGGTGATCATCGCTCTCTGCTGCAAAGGGAAGAGTTTGCATAAATACCATAGTAGAGCTTACAGAATGGGGTGATATGATCTAAAACTCTGTTGTTTATCTCTGCCAACTCTTATTCTCCATTGCTCTGGATACATTTTGCTAAAATCATGTATTTCATGGCACCAAAGCAGGCTTTCGCATCCAGGCAACATCTGAATGAGTTGAAATACAATCTTCATAATTCCCAGTCAATCACATTGTTTAGAAAACATGAGGACCAGGTTGAAGAAGTCTGCTCTAATCTAATGCAACTGTTCTTCTGCAGTGCACAAAATCCAGAAGGCTATTTGTAGACAAAGCCCTGGGAAAATATTTGTGAGAGACAGAAACAGCTAGGCTTCTATGTTATGACTGTTAAGAAGTACTTCAGAAAGATTGGGTGACTAGGCTTCAGGAGATCCAGGATTTCCTGGGCAATCCTGGGCAGGTATGGCTAGCCTGGATCTGCCAATGGGTCTGTTCGATCTGAAGAACCAATGAAAAATATGAAATATAATATGGCAAACTTTATTTTCTTACTGCAAAAAAACTATATCATTTCTGAAGAAGGGAGACACTTCACAACTATAACTGTGATGTTCTCTATGTGGTTTACCCTTGAAGAGTATCCAGAAGATATAGCTAGTACAGAATGATGCAGCTTTGGGTGCCCCAAAGTTGTGCACATAATATCTCTGCTACATGAGCTACATTGGGTGTTAGTTTGCTTCTAGATCAAGTTCAGAGTGTTGGATATCTTCTTTAAAGCTCTTTGTGATATGGGGACCAGTTTACCTAAGGAACTGTCCCACCTCTATTTTATCAACCCATCCCTCCATACTTTGTTTGGATTTGTTATGGACTCCATCAGTTTAAAAAAATTCAACTGGCAGACTGTAGGAAGAGAGTATTTTCTGCTATTGCCCCGACCCTATGGAACATCTTGCCCATGGAGATGAGGAAGGCTCCTACTCACTTGGCCACCCAAAAGAACTTTAATACTTGGCACTGCCCACTGGCATGGAGGTCTAAGAGTAGCATTGAACCATGGAAATGGCTGATGGTTTGAAGACACAACTCTCCAGCTTTTTAACTTTTTATTGTTCAGTTTTTAATGTTGTTTTAATTCTCTTTTTCAATGTTGTTTTTAAGCTTCACTGTTTTATATGATTATATGGTTTTATTTGCATTTCTATTTGCCAAGTCACATAGACAAAATGGGTGGTATAGAAATTTGCTAAATAAATAATAAATAAGACAAGGTACACAATATTTGTACAATTTTTTACCAGTAATATAAAGACATAGTTGTTCCTTTTATTCCTATCTCAACCCGTATGTAAAAAAAAAACCAGTTCCCCATCCTGCTCTATACAGACAAAATATACCTTCTGTCCATTTCCTATTTCCAATTATTAGCAGATTCTTACTGTTATGTTCCGAGAACGTGTCCATGCACAAGCCTCTGAGATTGGGAGAAGTGCCTTGTCTGCATGGGAAGATCAGTGCATGCTGATTGGCTGCCCCGCTTGACAGCTGATATATAAATAGCTGTCAAGTGGGAACCGTTTGTTTCTGTTTGGTTCTGGAGTTGCCTGTCGCGAGTTACTTGGTTTTGCGAATAAATGGTTGTCATTAACAACTGCCTCGCCTCAGTCATTGCCACCCCACCGAATACATAATACTTACATCACTAACAGTAATTGTAATTTCTCTTTCTTTTACCTAAATAAGATGAAGGTCAAACCTAGTTACAAAATAATAGCTAACATGTTCTTTATATACCATTCATCCCTTACACGGTATTGAATTAGTCATTTTATTAAAAGTGGCAATATATAGTGGCTGGCTAATGGCCCTCCAAACTACAATGTGGTTTGCTGATTCTCAGCTAAATGGGATGGCCGAGAAAAATTGAGTAGCCTTCATGGATTGTAATTCAATTCCCTACATTGAACTAGATAACATACTTTATTTATTTATCACAGTTTTGAACTGCCCACCTCCCTCTAAATAAGGAGAGAACTAAGCCCTATGGTTAGCTTTTAAAAACTTTGGTTTAGCTTATCTTTTAAAAATTAGTCATTTCATAAAGCAAACATTAGTACTTTCTCCAGATTCAGCAGTTGCTGTGGTCAGTCTGGCTGCCTGGATGCCCCCCCCTCTCTCCCTCCCTCCCNAATGAATGAATGAATGAATGAATGAATGAATGAATGAATGAATGAATGAATGAATGGTATATATCTGAAGCTCCTAATGCATGCCTTTTATTTACTTTGGAGATTCCACCACTGAATCATTCTGTGATGATGTTGTCTCTGTCTTCATGGTCTTTTGTGAAAAACTTCAGACAGCAATCAGGTAAGCGAGTGTTTCTAAATATAAATGGAGTTAGGGAGAAAATCTACCCTTGTTCTTGGTTGGGTTTCTTATCTGTCCTATTAAATCAAGTTTAAATTTTTACTAATTGATGATTAATTTGCAAACATAACGCTACCCTGGCAATAGGAGCTGCCACAAAGAGGGAGTGAAGCTATTCTTCAAAGCACCTGAGGACAGTACAAGAAGCAATAGGTGGAAACTAATCAAGGAGAGAAGCAACTTAGAACTAAGGAGAAGTTTCCTGATGGTTAGAACAATTAATCAGTGGAACAGCTTGCCTCCAAAAGTTGTAAATGCTCCAACACTGGAAGTTTTAAAGAAGAGATTAGATAACCATTTTTCTGAAATGGTATAGCGTTTCCTGCCTAAGCACCAGATTGGACTAGAAGACCTCCAAGGTCCCTTCCAATTCTGTTAGTCTAAGAGAAATACCTGGAAATTCTAAAAGATGTTCAGAGCTATAGTTATTTTCTGTATCCAGCATACACTCTGTTCCTAAACACCTACATTCTCTGTTTTCCATCAGCAGTAAAACTATGAAAAACAAGTTATGTATAATTTTGAAAATGTGGGCATAATGCAGAACATATTACAAAAAACAAATGCTGTAATTTTTTAGTGGCAGATATTTGCTCTGCCATGTGCAATCTTTCCGGCAGATCCTTGCACTATTAGTTTTGATTTTGTTCATGTATATTTTGTTCATGTATGTTTTGTTCGTTTGGGATGTTAATTTCTATTTAAAAGAGTAGCCCTCATTTTTGCATTGTTACCATAAAGAATGCTCTGTATAAACAGTTACCATTAAACAAACTTTCCTTATGTGTTAGAACACATTTTGGCAAATTAGTTCTTGATGTGCTGCATTGTAGTACATGAGCTTTATTGTAAAAAATTAATTGAATATTGGATTGGACAACTACAGATTATGTAGCTGGAGGAACAGACAATTATTGTCCCCAGTAATTATTATTATTATAATTTATGTAATAGTATGTAAATTTCTATAAGTTTAGGAACTGTAATTATTTGTGCGCCTAAATAACTAATTATTTGCAAGTGATGTCTAAATACTTTTTAATTGCATGCAATTTGTTAGAGAAGTTTATTGCATTGATGGGTATGTTTTTACTTATTTCAATAGTGCTTTTATAAGAGTGGTTTATTATTATCATCTATTATTTCTTTATTATAATAAATAATATCCCACCTTTTAAGATAAAGTATACTCAAAAAACATCTTATGATAAATATGAACAATTGTAAAGTCTCAGCAGTGAGTGTATCTGGCTGACTATGTTTGAGAATATAAGATAAGCAGGATTGAAGAATTTCAAGGACTTACAAAGGTTGTAAGTTAAACAAGAAGGTGGAAAAAAATCACCTTGAATAAAAGGTGTCATAACATCATTTTGTATTGTAGCTTCAAAAACTACATTGATGACTCTATGGATTCGCCAGGACTCAAGCTTGATTTACTTTTCTTAAATAAAAACTAAAAAATAAATACAAAAAGAAGGCAACTCCTATGATCAGTCCCCACTGTTAGTAGTAAAAACTTTCTGGGAGTTGGAGAGTCTAGCAGGGAAGACCAGATAATTTCTAGAATATTGATGGCGATAACCATTGAAATGGCCTCTTTCAAGCATAGCCGTTAAACCATTGTTACTTATCATAGAAATCTGTTCTGTTTTTAATACTATAAGTCTCTTGTTATTTCCCTGTTAGAATCCTATAATATCCTCTAAAATCACCCAACCAGCATATGTAGCAAAATTTAAGAAAAGGAGATTATCTGCCAGTAAACACACCCTGTTTCTATGAAAATAAGACCTCTCCAGATAATAAGCCCAATCGGGCTTTTGAGTACATGCGCCAAAATAAGCCCTCCCCTGAAAATAAGTCTTCTCCAAAAATATTGCAACACAGCTGCAGCCATGAGGTGACCACACTCGCCGCCTCCTGCACCTCAAAAATAAGACCTCCCAAAAAATAAGGCCAAGCGTTTATTTCAGGGGGGGGTCAAAAGAAAATTAGACCCTGTCTTATTTTCAGGTAGAGAAAAATTTTTAAATCCCAGAGAACAGTAAGGAAAGACAAAGGATGGAAATCCTAAGTGAGACTCCAAAGCATAAACAGAAACCAAACATTTTTCTTTTTCTAAGGGTACCAACCAAGAACATGGAAGGATATTGTGGGGAGGGTATTTTCCGCTTTCTTTTCTCCCCTTGAGAATGAGCAATCTTGAGCAGGAAGCAATGTCAATGCCCATGTCATAAATTGAAAGCCTAAATCCAGCCAACTCTGCTTTCCTTCAGGACTGTACATGTAGAATAATTCATTATGCTCTTCTCCTGTGCTTCACTTCTTCTAATTGCCATCTCATAAGAAATCTCTCTCTATGTCTGTCTCCTTATATATGATTCTCTTACATTACTGATACTATATCATTGGGATAGTACTGTTTGGCAGGTTGTTGGAAGAAGGTAACTGTACATTTGTCTGCTTCCCAAGTAGCTAGATCAGAAACAAGCATAGAGAAAATGTATCTTAAAATATTAACAACCATTTGGGCATGCATTATTATGCCTCCATAATCTAAACAAGGTATGCATTTGCAAGTTTGCGGTTTAGATTTCTTTAAATTAATGTTCAAAAACATAATGTGTTTGTGCTCAGAGACATGTGGATGAAGCAAGGCATCCAGTGAAGAGAGATTTCCATTTCTCCAACAATTTATTTTATTTATTTATGTATTTGTCAACATGTACAAGATAACAGGTATTAGTGTAGACATGGACATTTCTGCATGAGATTGATACAAATAGAGGGATATAAATAAGTATAACATGGCCATGAACACATGAAATGAGTACTTTTCAATGGGGACAGTAGGAATGGGATGGTAGGCATGCTAGTGCGCTTATGCACGCCCCCTTAGTGACCTCTTAAGAAAAGTGTGAGGTCCACGGTAGACAGTTTAAAAATATGGGGGTTTGAGGAACTAACAACGGAATCAGGTAGAGTGTTCCAGGCATTGACCACTCTATTACTGAAGTCGTATTTTCTGCAATCAAGTTTGGAGTGGTTTACTTTGAGTTTGTGTCTACAGTGAAATTCACTAAAGTCAGTAAGAGAGGTTTTCTTCATTATTTTCTACTTGGTATAGTATCTAACTAGATCATTATTATTTCTATTATTTCAATTCTCTTTTGCTGGGTTATTCTATTATTTCTATTCTCTTTTGCTGGGTTATTTCTGAGGAAAGTAAAATTGTTGAGCAGAAGAAAAATTAGAGAAGATTAATATGCTTCATAATTTGGTACAGACCCCTAGTGACTTAAATCAAATTACTTAAATAATTATCTCCTGAAGTACTAAGTAGCCTGGATGGTGAAGCCCTTCTGGTGATCGCTTGGGGGTGATCGCTTGGGTGATATAAAACTGAGACTTCCCAGTCACAAAATTTCATATAAAATTCCCTCATTAGAGAACTCTAATTAGCCTCACATTGCTGCATTTTAATGATAAATAAAATGTTCATTGAAACTAGAAACTGTACCACATTGGCACAGTGGTTAGAATGCAGTCTAATTCTTCCGGCTGCCGGCTGCCAGCAATTTGTCAGTTCTATTCTCACTGGCTCAAGGTTGACTCAGCCTTCCATCCTTCTGAGGTCAATAAAAAGTGGACCCTGATTGTTGGGGGAAATATACTGACTCTGTAAACTGTTTAGAAAGGGTTGTAAAGCACTGTGAAGCGGTATAAAAGTCTAAATGCTATCGCTATTTATTTGGGCAGATATATTGGGTGTACATAGTGATGATGATGATGATGATAATAATAATAATAATAATAATAATAATAATAATAATAATAATAATAATAATAATAATAACCCCTGTCGTGGTCAGACCACTGCCTACTGAGGCTTGACTTTCGGAGACCAAACCTCCACTGTAGGGAGGGGGAACCGACCATGTGGTTCCGCCCCAGGCGACTTATGGACCCTTTGAGGTTCCAGACGGAGCTTGGGGTTATTCCTGATACTCTCGCCCACAGTCCGGTGGAGACTCTGGTTGCTGCCTGGAATTCGGCAGCATCGGAGACCCTCGACCGGATTGCGCCACTACGGCCCCTCCGAGGCGGCGGATCCCGGAGGCCTCCTTGGTTCACCGAGGAGCTCCGGGAGAGGAAGCGCCGGAGGAGACGCCTAGAGCACCTGTGGAGGTCCAATAAATCCGAACCAAACCGAGAACTTTTAACAACCTGCACCAAGGATTACATCAGGGCACTTAGGGCAGCAAAGAGATCTTATATTGCCTCCTTGGTTGCGTCCGCCGAATCCCGCCCAGCCG